CGGGACCTCCACGCCCTAGTTCACTACCCTCCCTTTGGTGGACGCCGTCTCCCTCCCTCCCCCTCCGCCCTTTAAACCCTCCTCCCCACACCCCTCATCATAGGTGGCTAGGAGGGGGTGGCGGCCAGGAGGGCTGGGGGAGTGGGGGTGACCGGTGAAAAAAGGGAGGGGGTTGGCGAGGGATCGGAAAGGGTCTCTTCATTTCTCTCTCTCTTTTTTTTTTTTTGTTAGTAAACTAAGGCTGACTTTAATGAGATCTGACATCATTTTTTTTTTTGAAGATCGAGGCAAAACTCGGCGATGTAGCAATTTCCTTTTCTTTATTACTATTATTATCATTTATTTTGAACAATGTGGAATGTAACCTGTTCTGCTGACAATGCCTCTGATGGTACATACGCTCGGCCGTCAACTCGCCAGAAAAAAAATAATTTGAGGCCAAGCGTACTGCCATTAGAAGCGATTATGTATGCCTAAAAAATAAGTGCTACCACCTAAAAGTCATTTAAAAAAATTGATTATGTATGTATGTAAAATAAATATAATGGTCAACATATAAAAAACAACTTCTATTTCCTTCTAGTATCTCTGCCAAATACTTCAGTCTAGAGTGTTCTAGATCATATATGCTGAGCATGCATGATACCCGAGGCATGAGTAAGGGTTGACCCAATGTTTAGACTCTAGAAACTCTAGTCAAATCTAGATTTCTCTCGTAATTCTAGTGTATTTCTTATGTATTTCTCTTTTAGAGGTGCAGTAAACTTTGACGGTGATCTAGGCGTAGGCGCGATCTTTTAGTCTTTTCCTATGACTATGATTATTCAAGTAGAACCAGTTAGGGAATTCAGTAATGGTAGACGAGAAAGCCTGACGTTTGAATAGGTATTCAGAGAATCTTTAAGATGATGGCAATCTTAGATTAACCTCTTCCTCCCGCTCCGCCCCCGCCCCCCTCTGGCCCCCTCGCCCTCCCCTTTCTTAAAACTGCTTCTTTGGCATTATGATTATTACTATTATTATAATAGAGGCCGATATTAATGGCTGCGTTGTAGCTCTATCTCTTTCTCTCCCCCTCCCGCCCCTCCCCTCCCCTTTTATATATACTTGTATTTTATTGCGAATTTTATGATACGAGCATTGTAGGGCTATATACATACATCTCATTTTTGTGTGTGTGTAAAATAAAGGAGGATAAAAAAGACGTCAATTAAAGGATTAAAGTAGTAATGAGATGTAACGGTCCCTGAGTCTTTGAATGTAATTTCCCGCCAATAATTTGAATTTGTTTTTGCCTCGTAGCTTTTGGCGGGAAATTTACGACAGGGGCGAAGTGGACATGTCAATAACAAAACAATATATATATATCCCAAGAATTTATTTCAGTGTACCCTACAACTGCTGTAGAACTTAAGCTCCCATGCCTCCCCATGTTACAATATATATATCTATATATATATAGCCTTTTGCTGTTCGATTTTGTGCCGTCCATTTCTAATTACAATTAGGATGCTCTTCTGTTGTACTTTGCCGAGTTTATGATGTAATATGATGAAGCTGTTTTCAGCCTTAGAGGGGAATTTCCCGCCTTGGGATTGGTTGTTCAGAGGCAAGCCCTTGGAGGAACTTTCCCTTGTAGTTGTGATTTATATATATTTAAAAAGAAAAGTTATGTGGGTTATCTTATTTGTCTTTGAGCGTCTCTTGTCTTCAGAGTCATTGTTTTCGCGTATGTGGCTTATGTACTTATGCAGATACATTTGCATACACATATATGTGTGTGTGTGTGTGTGTACACACACACACACACACACACACACACACACACACACACACACACACACACACACACACACACACACACACACACACACACACACACACACACACACACACACACACACACACACATGTGTACGTACGTACGTATACACATGTACATGTACAAGTACATACATACACACACACTTGCACATACAAGTACATGTATATGTACATGTACACATACAAATACAAGTACACGTACATCTACATGTATATGGACAACACATATACATACACGTACAAATACATGTACACATACAAGTACACGTACACAAAGAACAAACTTACATAGTTACAATGCATGCACACATAAGCCAGTATACCTGTGTTTGTGGGTAACTGTGTATGTATATAAGACCATAGTGCGAATACACGCTAATCTAGTTAATACATTTTAAGAAAAATGGAATTCACAATGTCATAAAAAGCAAAAAGACAAATAATTAGCATAATGATAACCACAGACCCCCCCCTTCCCCATCCATACCTCCCCCACCCCACCCCGCATCCCCTCTCCCATTTTCTCCCAGAAATGAAAAAGTGAGGATGTATTTACCCTCACTTCACCCCCCCCCCCGTACCTCCCCACACACTCTACCACCCTCCTCCCTCTCCGTGTACTCCCCCTCCCCCACAACTCCCTCACATCACCCCCCCTCCCCTCCCTCTTTCAATAACCCTCAAAGCCAATCACACCCCTCCCCCCCCCCCCCTATATCTTGCCCCAACTCCCTACCTTCCCCTACCCCTTCACCCTCCCCCCTTTCCACCCTTTACCCCTTCCACCCAACCTCCCAAACCCTCCAACACCCCACTCTCCCCCCTCCCCTCCCCTACCCTCCACCCCCCCTAAGGCTGACCACAGCTGACCACGTTTTCTGTGGTTATAGGCCTGACTGCCGCCATACCCATCAGAAATGAGAGTCAGGGCTCCAGCAAAGGCCTAACCTCCAATTCGGTTGCCCCAATTCGCGCCGTCCATGTTTTGGCACCTGGTAAGAAAAGCATTGAGTTCGTTGTAGCGAGTGTATCACTTGTTAATACAGTTTTCATGATGCAAGATTTTTTTTTTTTTTTTTTTTTTTTTTGGGTGGGTGGGGGGGTGGGGGGGTTTAGGGTCCAGTTGTAAGATTTTTTTTTTTTTTTGTAATTGTTATTTTTGGGGGATTCAAGAAGGTTTTTTTTTTTATTTTTTTTATTTATTTTTTTTAGGGAGTTTGTAGTACCAGATACCTCTTTGAGAAGTTTGTGTAAAAAAAAGGAAAAAGAAAATATCTATACAAAAATTGGGATCATACAATGTATAGAAGATGTATTTTTTGTATGTGTGTAAAAAAAAAATCACCATATATATAAAATTATATTTGAAATTCCATACAATTTTTGATGGAGTTCATGGGTCACCATTACCATGCCAAGGGTTAGTGCACGTAATACCCCCATTAAAATATGACAATATAAATGAACTTGTTTGTATGTAGTTGTATTTTTTTCACTGATTAAGCTGATATGAAAAAAAAATGTTTGTGATTTTTGGTTGTTGTTGTGATAGCCTTTTTTTGTTTAAAGAACTAAACCAAAAAAAAATGTATCCTTCATGTAATAACTTTGTAGTGATTTATAGTCAAGAAAGAAGATAGTTGTTAAGTTTGAACTTAGAAGAAATCTAAGGTTCCTGTCCTATCAACTTTTTATTTAATGATTTTATAATATTTTTTTAACCCACTAGCACTTAGACTTGTTAAAAATAAACTATTGTAACCATTTTCCTTGTTGAGTTTTTGAGTAAGTCTGACATATATAATCACGAACAAATTATATATATATATATAATAAAAAAGGGGGTATTATGACATATATAAAACCAAACAAATAAAAAAAAAAATCAGAAAAAAAAATCAAGATACCAAAAAAAAAAAAGAAAGAGAAAGCAAAACCAAACAGCGTAAGGATGTAGTTAAAAAAAGAAAGAGAAAAAGAAAAAGCCGAGGCAAGATCTCAGAAGAAGGATGTGTCCAGCGAAGTAAGTACCTTGGGGCCGAAGATGCCGATGTCGTGCGATGCAATTCCTGTGATTCAAGACTAGCTGAAGAAACTTAGACAACAAGATAGAATTTAGCAACTTTCTCTCACAACATTTTCCCTTAGAAAGAAGTGTTACCACTTAGGTGAAACTCCTTAGAAGATGTTCTAGAACGAATGATCTGGGATAGAGGAAGAATGAAGAAAGAAGATGTGAATCTCCCAATAGAATTACTTCTTCTAGACTATAGTACATATAGACTATAGCATCTATAGGTCATAGTATCTATAGAGCTAGCCAGTGTTTGGCGCGCGTTTCTTCTCTTGTTTGATGATAACAATGTTTAGAAATTAATATAGATAGTAACTATTACTCTAATCTAGGTGAATGTAGAATATTAGCCATGATGCTGTCATGATCTGCGATTATGATGTAAGATTCTAGAACTTATTAGATCAAGATGCAATACTAGACTACTCAATGTGATGATAAAATACTAGATTCTTCACTTGTGATGAACTAACTAGCTAACCATCTGTTCCTCTTACAGGTACTTTAGCAGACTACTTTTAGTCTAGAAAACTTTTAGACAATTCGTAGTTTTTCTAGAGATGTTTTCCTGTATACGAAACAACTAGTCTGTTTTTTAGACAAGTCTCTCTCGTTTTGGGCTGGCATGTTCCTGCCCAGAGAACCATAGACCCGTTTTTAGTGCATTTCCTATTTTAAGGGTGACATTTATATATGTGCTTTGAGGCTTCACAAACTCCAAAACTAACACTTTTGTCACTAACTCTTTCAAATCTACTCTTGGCCGGAAAGCAGTCAGATATATATTTTTATGGTCGTCTGTTTTGCATGTCAAGTGTTTTCAACTCTTTTAAACCTGTGCCAGAAGAATAATCTTTTGATTTTAACCTCATCGGTGCATTGACTATTTCCGGCTCAACAAACACCCAAAAAAAAGAAAAGAAAAGAGTAGAAGGTTCATCTTTTTCAATGATGACAATCTTTTTTAAATCTTTCCCTTTTTAACCAAAACTCTCTTACCTTTGTAACAGAGTTCTTTTGTACTTGACCTTTTGTGACCTCAATCTTGACCCGCGGCGCCACTCCCCCTCCTCTGACCTGGCTTACCCCTCCTCGCCCTCAG